AGTTTTTGGAGGGGGCTGCTTGCCCGCCTCCTGCCCTGGGACTTTGAAAGTGTTATTTGGGCTTATTGGATTTTAAAACACTTTTTATGCCCCTTTAATTCCATGGGAAAATGCGCCTCTTCCCCTCCTCCTTTTTCCTTTCCTATTGTTCTCCAGCAGGGCGTTGTCCCAGAGACACTGCCAAACCTGTTAAAACTGTCTGCTTTGTCCCTCCTCAATCTCTCATCAGCCCTTGCTGTGTTCGTGAGATCTGAGTGCTTTTCGGACATATAGAGCGCTCAGATCCAAGCTATCTGGGGATATGTTGGACATATAGGTTAAACATTGTATTATAAGAGTTATGTATTTTTGTAACTGTTTTTGTAACAGTTTTGACTTAGAGATATTCCTTGTACCTGGAGATAATTAAGTTACCACACACACTTAAGCCAATTATCTCCAGGATAGAGGAGAAGATAGACCGGCTGCACAGCCTGAATCTGTGAAACTGTTTTGGGCAGGATCAAATGTGACTTCCATGGAATTCGTGAACCCTTGCTTTGATTTGGGTGATTTTTGAATATGTTGTTCACCCAGATCAGGGCTATCCAGGGATGTATAATTTGTGGGGATATGTTGTTGTTTTGGAGTGTTTCTGTGTTTTGGGTAAAACTGTATATTTTCTGCCTGTGGTAATTAAGTTAGCCCATTGTGTTTAGTAATTATATCACAGGCAGAGGGGAGGGTTTGTGTGCCTTTGCTGGGAGTGTCTGACTGTACTGTACTGTATTGATTGGCTGTTGTAACAAGGTCCATGTGGATGGTAACCTTGTGGGGAAATGTATATAAAAGAAGCAATAAAGCCTCAGTGCATCCTGTTCTTGTTTACACTCCAAAACTGTGTGTCGTCCTGTTATTGGAGGGAAAGAAGATTTGCTCCTGTGTCTGCTGTTCCTGCTTGCAGGATATTTAAGGGAAGAAGGAGCGGTTCCAGGGCCCCAGTCCAGCCACGGCGACTGTGGGCAGAAGTGCGGCGGTTCGTGGAGTCTGCAGTGCTTATGGTGTCAAGTGGAGTGCTTGGAGCCCTCAGGAAGCACTAAGAGCATCCGTCAACGGAAGTACTCAGTCGGGTTACCAGGTGATCCGTTACAGCTCTGTTCTTGGTCCCCTTCTATTTTCTCTTTATACTGCCTGCCTTGGTAAGTTTCATCGATGTACAGGTATTTGGATTCCACCACCACCTGTACACCAATGAAACTTAGATATATCTCTCCTCCCTGGACTTCTCCCCTGCCGTCCTATAATGTATCACTGCTTGCCTTTCTTTCATCTCTGATTGGATATCTTCCCGCTTTCTGAAACCCTCAAGTTACTGGTACCCACATCAGCCCATCATTGCAAGCGTGCTGTCTTGGTGTTATATTTGATTCTGGCCTCACCTTTGACCCTTAAATTCAGTCTGTTATCAAATCCTGTCGATTATACCTTAAAAGCATTACCTGTGTCCGCCCCTTTCTTACGCAAGAAACGCTTGTTCATGCTCTAGTAATCGCTCGCATTGATTATTGTAACTCTGTCCTAATTGGTCTTCCCAGAAGCCATACTGCCCCACTACAGTCTATAATGAATGCTGCCACCAGAGTGACTTTCCTCTCCAGTTTCTCCTCTCACACTTCAACCCTCTGTCAGTTCTTACATTGGCTTTCTGTATGCTATAGGAGTAGTTTTTAAATTACTAATCCATTCCTATAAAGCACTGAACAATTCTAGCCCCTCCTATATCTCTTCACTTATCTGTAGACACAGTATGCCCCTTATCAGGCTCTCCGCTCTGCCCATGAACTTCTCCTGTCTACTGCTCGCACCCATATGGCCTTCTCACGCTTGTGGGAGGCTCCTTTCCTTTGGAATAAGCCTGCCTACCACCATCAGACTCTCCCCTAGTTTTCAATAATTTAAGAAGTGTCTTTTCAGGAAAGCTTGTGGCCTCCCAGAGTAACATCTACCTCACATAACTGTCCCTTGCTCTCTCCTAAAGTGCAGCACTCTTCTCTCTCCTCCAGCTCTGCTTCACTCCCACCTCGTGTGATTGCTATCTCCTGTCCTATTATGTTTTAAACCCCACCTCCTCTAGACTGTAAGCTCGTTTGAGCAGGGTCCTCTTCAACCTATGGTTCCTGTAAGTTTTTGTAATTGTCTCATTTATTATTAATTCTCCCCCTTTTATAATACTGTAAAGCGCTGGGGAGTATGTTGGTGCTATGAAAATGCCAACAATAATATTAATAGAGGGGCCAGCAGAAGGTGTTGGGGACTGGCTCACCTGACCCATAGACCCTTGGTAATACTTATCATGGCAGCTTTTAGTAGGTCTTGCTGAACAAATCACCTAGCTGTGGCAAATAGCCCTCAGCTACTTCAGCATTTTTTATTTTTTGCAGAGTAACCGATTTCTGTAAGTAGCCTTGATCATGTTATGTTCCATTTGTTGCACATAACAGATCTTCAGGAAGGGAGGGTTTGTTGATACAGTCCATAACAGTGTTGGGGCTATAGGTGGAGGAGCTCATGACAGGGACATAGCTGGAGAAGCAGGTGGAGGGTCATGGCTGAATAAGGCAGTGTGTTCTACATTACAGCGCTTGTGAAATCTGCCACCTACCAAGGTCCTGGGGACTGGAAGATGCGGGCAACTGGTTCAAGGCTCATAACGCAGGCAGCTGATGGTGGTTCAGTTGCTCCTCAAAAGGTCCTGGAAAAGGCTGTCTCTTCTGGCTCCACAGGCATATACAAGGAGTTAGAAAATTACTCTTTTTCCTCCAGTTACTCTTTATCCGAGCCTATAACACAAAAAAAAAAAATAATTTCCGATGTTACTTATTTTGTTTGACCTCGGCTAGCTCTGCTGCAATGTCCGTGGTCCTCTGACTCCCTGTACTGTGGTGAAGGAGATGTCCCCAGATTCTGCACAAGGGAGGTTCCTAGTGAAAAAAGTATACAATCTTTTGGTTAAATAAACTAATATATATTACTAAACAGATTAGCAGATTATGACAAGGAAAATGTGGAAGCTTTATAGATAGATGACTGCTTAGGGCAAAAGAAGGGAAATCAGCTATTGGCTGGCTTAATGTTGATATTGGTACAGAATAGCAGCTGTTAGAGCAAATTGGGGAAGCTGTGGGTAATATATAGAGGGACTAATAGTTCTGCAAGGGGAATCAGATTTCTGAACCTGTTTAATAGCACTTTCATGTCACCTCAGGTACAAGCACCAAATAGGAAGGATGCTTTTCTGGATCTGGTTATAACAAACAATGCTGCTCTTTTGACAAACATTTAAGTAGGGGGCACTAAGGAAATAGTGGTCACAATGTGGTGTCTTTTAAAATAAACTAAAAAAAAAGCAAATGCACATGGGGTATACTAAAACATATAATTTCAATAAGATTAGGGCAGCTTTACAACATATTAAATGGCTTAATTTCTTAAGTGAAAAAACCCATGGAGGATAAATGGAATATCTTTAAACAAATATTATAAAGGCACACTTCTCACTATGTATCATTGCTAATTAATATAATTAAATTTTTTTTTTAAATGTGACTTAGTGGGGAGGTAAACCAAGAAATTAAAAATAAGAAAATGGCATTTGAAGCATTTAAGTCAGACAAATTAGATGCATTCTTATAAGATATAAGGAAGCCAATAATGCATAAAAAAAGGCAATTAGTTGGGCTAAACAAGAAAATGAAAAAGTGATAGCCAAAGAGAGCAAAACCAACTCCAAAATGTATTTTACTTACATAAATTAAAAAAGAAAGTGTAGGCACACTAAAAACAGAGATGGCATGTTAGTTAATGAAACACATTACTATTTTTCCTCAGTATATATAAAGGAGAAAGAGATATGCAAATGATTGCTGCAAAACACTTCAGAAGAAAATGTGATTGGATGACTCAAGAAAAGGTGCTACAACACCTGAAGAAAAGTCATGTAAACAGAGCCCCAGAGCCTGACTGTATCCACCCACGAGTACGAGTTAAGTATGGAAACAAGTGAACCTCTGCTTTTAATCTTTCAGGATTATTTTATTTCAGGAATTGTACCAGAGGATTGGAGGATGGCAGATGTGGTTCCTATATTCAAAAAAGGTTTGAAATATGTGCCTGGACATTATAGGCCTGTGAGCTTAACTTCTTTGGCAGGGAAAGTATTTGAAGGGTTATTAAGGAATTCTATTCAGGAATTCATTTGGAAGAACACTGTTAACAGCAAAAATAATCATGGTTTTATCAAACTAACTTAATTGCATTCAATGAAGAAGTAAGTAGAATTATAGATCAGGGTGTTGCAGTGGATGTGATTTACTTTGATTTTTCCAAGGCATTCGGTATGGTTCCACACAATAGGTTAGCGTTCAAACTAAAATAAATTGGTCTAGATGAACATTCTTGTTCTTGCGTAGAACATTGGCTTAAAGATAGTGTACAGATAGTTGTCATTACAGGGAGTGCAGAATTATTAGGCAAATGAGTATTTTGACCACATCATCCTCTTTATGCATGTTGTCTTACTCCAAGCTGTATAGGCTCGAAAGCCTACTACCAATTAAGCATATTAGGTGATGTGCATCTCTGTAATGAGAAGGGGTGTGGTCTAATGACATCAACACCCCATATCAGGTGTGCATAATTATTAGGCAACTTCCTTTCCTTTGGCAAAATGGGTCAAAAGAAGGACCTGACAGGCTCAGAAAAGTCAAAAATAGTGAGATATCTTGCAGAGGGATGCAGCACTCTTAAAATTGCAAAGCTTCTGAAGCGTGATCATCGAACAATCAAGCGTTTCATTCAAAATAGTCAACAGTGTCGCAAGAAGCGTGTGGAAAAACCAAGGCGCAAAATAACTGCCCATGAACTGAGAAAAGTCAAGCGTGCAGCTGCCATGATGCCACTTGCCACCAGTTTGGCCATATTTCAGAGCTGCAACATCACTGGAGGGCCCAAAAGCACAAGGTGTGCAATACTCAGAGACATGGCCAAGGTAAGAAAGGCTGAAAGACGACCACCACTGAACAAGACACACAAGCTGAAACGTCAAGACTGGGCCAAGAAATATCTCAAGACTGATTTTTCTAAGGTTTTATGGACCGATGAAATGAGAGGGAGTCTTGATGGGCCAGATGGATGGGCCCGTGGCTGGATTGGTAAAGGGCAGAGAGCTCCAGTCCGACTCAGACGCCAGCAAGGTGGAGGTGGAGTACTGGTTTGGGCTGGTATCATCAAAGATGAGCTTGTGGGGCCTTTTCGGGTTGAGGATGGAGTCAAGCTCAACTCCCAGTCCTACTGCCAGTTCCTGGAAGACACCTTCTTCAAGCAGTGGTACAGGAAGAAGTCTGCATCCTTCAAGAAAAACATGATTTTCATGCAGGACAATGCTCCATCACACGCGTCCAAGTACTCCACAGCGTGGCTGGCAAGAAAGGGTATAAAAGAAGAAAATCTAATGACATGGCCTCCTTGTTCACCTGATCTGAACCCCATTGAGAACCTGTGGTCCATCATCAAATGTGAGATTTACAAGGAGGGAAAACAGTACACCTCTCTGAACAGTGTCTGGGAGGCTGTGGTTGCTGCTGCACGCAATGTTGATGGTGAACAGATCAAAACACTGACAGAATCCATGGATGGCAGGCTTTTGAGTGTCCTTGCAAAGAAAGGTGGCTATATTGGTCACTGATTTGTTTTTGTTTTGTTTTTGAATGTCAGAAATGTATATTTGTGAATGTTGAGATGTTATATTGGTTTCACTGGTAATAATAAATAATTGAAATGGGTATATATTTGTTTTTTGTTAAGTTGCCTAATAATTATGCACAGTAATAGTCACCTGCACACACAGATATCCCCCTAACATAGCTAAACTAAAAACAAACTAAAAACTACTTCCAAAAATATTCAGCTTTGATATTAATGAGTTTTTTGGGTTCATTGAGAACATGGTTGTTGTTCAATAATAAAATTAATCCTCAAAAATACAACTTGCCTAATAATTCTGCACTCCCTGTACAATACCCATCATTGTGCTATGTTAAGAGAACTAATCTCGCTAAAACTCACGTATACCCTTTCAACTCCGCTTTTAGCTTTACCACTTCTGAGTAAAGTTAAATTATTTTACAAGCATAAACTCCAGCAATGCCTTTGCATTGTACAACTCCTGATCACTCTAACTCCATCACATTATTTACTATTCCATGTTAAAAGTGAACAATAGGTAAATATTTCCATATTAAGGTAAAATTTCTGCTTTGTATATGTGTCATGTATGATGGGACCTATTGTCCTTGGGCACGGTGTTGTTCTAGATGTGTATCTTTTTGCTTATTATGTAGATAGTGTACATTCCAATTTCCCATTCCAATAATTGATATAAATTTAAGTATTTTTCCACGTTATTATGCATTTAATAGTACCCTCCTTTGCAAGAAGTCAAACCATTTTAATAGTTTGACTTCTTACCTGGAGTCTGCTGGCCGTCACTCCCCACTTCCATTGCCATGACCGAGAGCCAGAAGTTCCTAAGCAGGAATTTCTGTTAGCACTCCTGAGCTAAACCCTACAATGCTCAGAGCTGTCAGCTGACGCAACTGGGGAACGCCAAGACACTACTGGCACTGTAACCACTAAAGTGCGCTGTAGTTTTTATGGTGCTTTCAGTGTTCCTTAAATGTGAGTTTGGGGAATTCAAAGTAAATTATGAAATTTAGGACAAAAAAAATCACAATTAAAGGACCACTATAGGCACCCAGACCACTTCAGCTCAATGAAGTGGTCTGGGTGCCAGGTCCATCTAGAATTAACCCTGCCTGCTGTAAACATAACAATTTCATAGAAACTGCTATGTTTACTTTAGGGTTAATCCAGTGGGGGCACCCTCTGGGCACTATAGTGCCAAGAAAATGAGTTTGTTTTTCTGGCACTATAGTGGTCCTTTAAAAAGATATTCCAGTTCAATTATTTTGGTCTACAATTGCAAAATCACAGTGAATTCACATTTTAGTGATAAAAATAAACTGTAGAGATTTTGGGTTGGGGCTGCTTTTGTTTTTGTTTGTATTGATGGCAAAAGACAAAGAGAGCCTGCAATAAAAGTATTTCAAGTTATTCTCTTAGTGATTGTAATTTTATTAAAGACACGGAGGCTCATATTATGCATAACTCTTTCTTTATTTCCTCAGCAGCAAAGAAAGAGAAATATAAATATTATCAAAACTGAAGAAAAAACTGTATAGGCACAACAGGTAGCCAATCCAGTTTTATTCCCCCAGAGAACTGTCTCTCCCTCCGGAGCAGGACGAGATGATTTCCACGGAGGTCGTGGAGATGTTGTCCAAGGGCGCTATAGAGGAATTGCCGTTCGCCACCCCAGGCTTTACGAGCAATTTGTTTCTGGTGCCCAAGAAAGGGGGCGGGGTTCGCCCTATAATAAATCTTCGCCCATTCAACGCCTTTCTACGCTACCAACACTTCCAGATGGAAGGTATACACTGCTTCAGAGACCTTCTACGCCAGTCAGACTGGTTGGCCAAGCTGGACCTGAAGGACGCCTACTTTACGGTCCCCATCGCTTTGGAGTTCAGGGATTATCTCCACTTCACCTGGCACGGGCGTCGTTGGCGCTTCACCTGCCTGCCTTTCGGTCTCTCCTCGGCCCCTTGGTGCTTCACCAAGCTCATGAAGCCCGTAGTAGCATTCCTCCGGTTCGCCTCATTATCTACCTGGACGATATCCTGATTTTATCCCAGTCACGAGAGGATCTCCTCACACACCTAGGATGGACGACCAGCCTTCTGCAGAAATTGGGATTTCTGATCAATTGGAGCAAATCGGTCCTGATCCCTGCCCAGTCCATAGAGTTTCTGGGTTTTCAGGTGGATTCCATCCGGCAGTTTCTGTTCCTTCCGGATGCCAAGGTGAAAGCCATCCAGAAGGAAATTCGGAGGGCCCTCCGTGTCCCGGACTTGTCAGTCAGACAGCTGGCGAAGATTATCGGCCTTCTCGCGGCCTCTATTCAAGCGATCTTCCCAGGCCCGCTGCACTTCCGGGCGCTCCAACGGCTCAAAGGATCGCACCTTCGCTCAGGTCATTCCTACGAATCTCGGATAATGCTAGACGCGGAGTCCAGGGACGAGCTAGTGTGGTGGTTGGCGCACATGGAGGCATGGAACGGAAGAGCCATCTTCGGTTCCGCCCTGGATGTGGTGATAGAGTCCGATGCCAGCTTACACGGCTGGGGAGCTCGTTGTGGCGACATTTCCACAGGTGGCAGGTGGTCCGACACAGAGAAGTCGTTGCACATCAACTGCTTGGAACTCCTGGCAGGTGCCTTCGCGATCCGCAGTCTTGCCCCGGGGAGGGCGAATTGCTGCGTTCTCCTCAAAATGGACAACGTATCGGCAGTTCGTTACATAAATCACCTAGGGGGTACGAAGTCCAAAATGTTGGCGGTTCTGGCGAAAGATTGGTCCGCCACGATTGTCGGATGGCGTTAATCACCCCTCTATGGAGGTCTCGACCATGGTTCCCTCGCCTGATGGAATTGTCCATAGACTACCCTCGATTGGTTCCGATATTCCAAGATCTCCTTCTGGATCCGGATGGGAACTCTCACGAACTGGTGTTGTGGCATCAGTTACCCCTTATAGCATGGTTCCTTTCAGGGGACCTTGGGTTGTCCCAGATGTTCCGCAGTCAACTCTCCGACTCCTCGATAACGCCTGGGCCCCGGGTACGCGGGCAGCTTACCGACACTCATGGAGATCGTGGTCTGGTTGGTGCATGGAACGGGCAATCGATCCCGTATCTGCCCCTCTACCTTTGATTCTGGAGTTCCTCACGTTCCTGTTTGATTCGGGCAAGGCGTACCGCACAATCAACC